AGCTGCAGCAGAAGCTATAAAAAGCACAGCCCTTCAACAATAGGTGACATCACCCAGCAGCGGAAAGAACTGGATTCTACCAGATGCCAGGGGGAGTTATGGTGCCCGCCCCTCCCTCAGGATGGGAGCCCCTTGGGAAAGGGCTTGGGTACGGTCCCCTGGAGCCCTGGAGGGATGGGCTCAAGCTCCTGAGGACCTCCTCACGGGCCGAGGGAGGGGAGGCTGATCCTGAGGGACTTGGGCATGGACTTCACTGGGCATTTTTCAGGGATGGGGGATATGGGAAAGGAGCTGGCGGTGGTGGAGGCGGGGTGGTCAAGAAGGGCTTGCTAGGTCCCCTCAGTGTTCTCTGAGTGTCCCAAGAGACAAGGAGTGGGTAGACACGGCCAGACCTGCTTCCAACAGCTTCTCTCTGGGCCCCTTCCAGCTGGTGTGGAGCACAGTGCCTGACACATAGTAGGTCTGCTGACTGACCACCTAGCCCTGGCTCTGCATGTTGCACTTGATACACATCAGTTGATCATCTGGGTTGGAGTGAGTTGAGGGAGGGTGTCTCAGTGGCCTGCCCCCGAGGTGCTCTGATGGAGGCAGGAGGGTCAGGCGGCACAGGCCTGGCAGTACTGACAGGCCTGGTCACCCCCCTTCAGGGCTGCAGGTGCCATTTCCCTCACATCCCACCCTTCCCAGCACCTGGCCAGGGATGTCTCCCCTCCCGGTGCCCTCAGTGCCTGGCACTGGCTTTGCACAGAGAAGATGCTAAAATGTAGAGATTGAGTGTGATGGATCTAAACCGTCAGCCCTCCATGGCTCTGAGCCTCGGTTTCCTCACCTATAAAACCAGAGTGGTTGGTGAGGTGCTAAAGAGTGCTGGTGGGGAGTCATGAGACCTGGGTGGGACAGGGGTGCCCTGTGTGACCTTGGGCAAGGCGCTGCCCCTTGGGCCTCAGGGTGCCCTTCCCCAGGAGAGGCTGGGCTCTGGTCACGGGGACTGGTGGCCCCATTGCCAAGGCCCTGCGGCTGCAGCTGAGGATGGGCCGAGACTGAGGGGCAGAGTGGGGCTCTGAGCTGCTGCTTCTGGGGCAGCTGGGGTCAGGCCTTGGTTCCTGTCTGATGCAGTCTCCTCTCTGCATCAGCAGCCCTAGGCCAGCCCCTCCTGCTTGGTATCCCCAAGCCCTGTGCCCTTTCTCTTCGTCCCTGAGCCCCCCGCCATACTCCTTCTCTTCACTGAGCCACACCCCAGGACTTGCCAGCTGGCCTGGGCCCCAACTCTTCCACAAAGCCACTGTGCCTCCTCCAGCCCCACTAGTTCCCCTTCCCTGATCCCTGGGAGTGGGCGGAGTCTCCTACACACCTGGCATATGCCCTGCTCTGCCCCTCAGGTCTCAGGCCCTCCACAGCTGTAGGCGCAGGGCCTTGGCAATGGAGCCAACCATCCTCGTGGCCAGAGCCCAGCCTCTCCTGGGGAAGGGCACCCTGAGGCCCAAGGGGCAGCGCCTTTCCCAAGGTCATACAGGGCGTCCGTGTCCCACCCAGGTCTCCTGACTCCCCACCAGAGCTCTTTAGCACCTCACCAACAGCCCTGGTTTTACAGGTGAGGAACCTGCTCTGGCTTACACTCAGATGGCTGGAGAAGCACAGGTCTCACTTCAGAGTTCAGCCGCTCACCCTGGCTCCCCAGTCCTTCTCTCCCTGGTTCCTTCCATCTCTGCCACTTCTCTGGCCCACTCCCCTCCAAGGCCACCACCCAGGGCCTCCAGCTGCACCAGATCCTCTGTTTTCTAAGCATGCCACATGCACTCTGCTATGGTCTGAATGTTCGTGTTCCCCAAGTGTCCTATGTTGAAACCCTAACCCCTAAAGGGCTAGTATTAGGAGGTGATTAGGTCATGAAGGTGGAGCCCTCATGAATGGGACTAGTGTTCTTATAAAAGAGGCTTCCGGGATACCCCTCACTCCTCCCACCATGGGAGCATAACTGAGAAGACAGCCCTCACCCCACCAGGCTGGCACCCTGATCTTGGACTTCAGCCTCCAGAACTGTGAGCAATAAATGTCTGTTGCTTGTAAGCCACCCAGTCTGGGATTTTGTTACAGTGGCCCAAGCTGACTAGGACACACTCCCTGCAGGCCCTTGCCTAGGCCCTTCCCTGGGCTTCCTTTAACGCTCCCCTGCCATCAAAGGCCTGCTTCTTTAGGGTCCAGCTCTCTCTAACCTCCTCTCCCCCACCTACACCCCATCAGAACTGATTCCCCTCTCATCCTTGGGCACACAGCTCTTGGTTTGACTACCATGGCTGCAGTGACATGATTCTGCATTGCATTTAGGGCAGTAGCATGTGATCTGTGTGGTCCTGCACCTCTGCTGGTGGTATTTCCAGGGCAGGACAGACCAGCAGGCCTGGTGTTAGGCACAGACCTGTCAAGCCTCACAGCAACTGCCAAAGGAGTGGATCATTATTATTACTGTTGTAAAGAGAAACAAAACAGGCTCAGAGAGGGTAAGTAACATGCCCCTGGTCACCCAGCTGGTAAACAGTGAAGCTGAGATTTAATCCTGGGTCCCCCAGATTCCACAGTCAAACTCCCTTTGAAGCCCAGTATCTGGGAGCATGGTCAACACACTGCGGTCTTTCCATTGTTCTGTGCAAAACTAAAGAGGGACACTTGGCTTATGTGGCCAGAGCCAGGCCTTCCACTTTTCTTGAGCACACAGCATGGGCATCCGGTTTATTAGTGGGGGTCCTGGAGCATGAGCCACCTGACTTTCAGGTGAAGTAAGGTGCTGATGGCCAGGCAGTGGCCCTTCCACCCTCACCCCCAATCAGTGGTTTTGACCAGTGGTGTAGCCAGGGCAGCCAGCAACTCCGAGCAACTAGCTGACTGTCTGTTCCCTCACCGAGCTGGTCTCTGCTCATGTCTTCTCCAGATGGCTCCCGTGGTGAGACACAAGCACCAGGCAGGGCCTGCGGCTTCTAGCACAGACTGTCTGTGGATTTACGCCATGACAAGATTTTGTCGGGCAGGAAGAACATGGGCTTTGGAGCCAGCAGCCCTCTTTCCACTTGCTAGTTCTGTGACCTGCCCCCAATCCCTAGTGCCTGTCTCCTGAGGACTAATTAACTACACTGCAGCCGGAGTAGGTGCAGGGGCTGGTGTCAGGCAGCTCTGAGTTTCGGGTGTCTGCTTCCTGGTGGCTGCGGACAGTTGCTCGATCCCTCCGCAGGCAGGGCCAGAGCCGGCTGGGGTTGCCGGCACTCCTTCCTGGGCCTCCTATACCCTGAAAGGAAGGATGGGCAGCAGCTCCACCTGCTCTCTTTTCCACCAAGCCCAGCCCTCCCCTGCGCTGACCTCTGAGCCTCCAGCCCCCACCAGCTCCAGCTGCCTCCTTCTCAGCCTAGGAACAAACCAGCAACCTCCTTGCTCCCCCTGGGCCTCCCCACTTGTCCGGGGCTCCGTCACCTCTTGCCTGTCCTCTGGTCTGCTTGTGCCCTGACCCCTGTCCCCAATTTGCGGAAGAAAGTAACCAAACCCGGTGAACTCTGTTCACCTGAAGCTCTCGCCCTCCCCGCCCACATGGGCCCTGTCTCACTGTCACAGATCTCAGGGTCCTTGCGTTGACTCAGGACTTCCGCCTGCAGGAGCAGGTCAAGCCCACTCACTCCGCCATCCTAATTCCCCCTCCACCTCTCCCATTTATGAGGCACTGTGCCAGAGGACCTTCCCTCCAACTTTTTTAACTGATGGTGACTATTTATTGTGAAAATCTTCCTTTGGATAATTGATTAGTTGGGCTGTATTCATTCTTTCCTTCATTTGCTTGTTTTCCCATGCATCTATCTACCCATCCATGCATCTTCATCCAGCCATCGTTTCATTCATCTATCTACCTTTATCCACCCACTGAGTCATCTTTATCCATCCATCAATGTAGTCGGCCAACACTCCATTCATCTATCTAGCCGTAGCCATCTGTCCAGCCATCCATTCACCGAAGCATCCCATCCAATACCTACGAAGCATTTAGTAGGTACTGGGCTCTGTGCTGGGTATTTGGGATTCACGGTCTGTGCTCTCAGGAGCTCACCATCTAGCCTGGGAAGACAGGCAACATGAGCTCCGTAGTTCTTTCCAGTTCCAGCCCTCTGGGAGTCTATGACCTGTACCCAGGCTACACCAGTGGGCAGCGGGCAGATGCATGCGGTCTGACTGAAAGGCTAATATTCCTTCACCCGGGAACCCCAGGAGCTGGGGCAGCCCTTCCTCACCAGCTCAGCTGAGGTCTGAAACCCCCTCTTGCTTCCAAGCTGGTGTGCGGATGGTGTTCAGCGTGACACATGGAGACTGCTGACTGCCTGACCCAGCTCCACCAGTGGAAATCGGCAGAGCCTGGGGAAAGGGTGGCCAGGAAGCAGCTTCTCTGTACCCTCTTCCCCCCCCATCCCTCTGCCTCCTGGCCGGCCTCTCTCCTTCCCTCTGTTTACTCCCTCATCTTAGTCTTCTCTCTTCCCATTAAGTCTGTGGGTCCCTGGACAAGTCGCAACAGTTCTCAGCCCACTGTCCTTCCCTGCAGCCACGACGAAACCAGACGGTACATTGGCCGTGCCCGGCCTGCAAGAGCAGCCTGCCCAAGGGGAGCCCCCCAGGGCTCAGCCTGCCTTGCCCCTTCCTCCTTGTCCATATTTTTCCTCCTGCCTTCCTCTTTTTTGAGAACACAGATGAGTGCTGAATCACATTTTTCTAATGTTCACCTACAAAATCAATACTTCCAAACAAAATCATGCAAACGGCACGAGATCTGCCAAATATTCCATGGATTCGCCCCCTCAGTCCTTTTCCTAACCCTCTCCCCATCCTGGGCTAGCTGGAACGATGACAGAGAGGCAGAAAAGGAAAAGACAAGACAGGACCGAGAGGGGCGTTCCAGAAGGGAGGCCCCCAGGAGGCAGCGGGGAGGAGCCCACTGCGGGCCCACCCTCCTTGGGGGGCACCCCTCTGCTCACCGATGTGTCCTCCGAGCATGAGGCAATGATGTTGTCAATGAAGGGGTTCCACTTGATGTCCAGCACGTTGCCCTGGTGACCACAGACCTTGGGGTAGTTGGGCTCAATTCTGCCTGTCTGTTGAGGGGAAAGAATGAGAGAGAGAGAGAAGGGGATGAGTTCCACGGCCCTGGGTGGCCCTGAAAGGACAGTCTTTATTCTGGGCTTCTAAACTGGGCTGGAAGGTCCTTGAGGACCCACCAACGTCTTATTTGCCTTCACATTCTTGCATCCGGATGCGACAAACTTAAGGGGGTACACAGCAGGCAGAATGATGGGGCGGGGCCGAGGCTGGTCCATGTGGCATCTTGTGCAAATTAGGAAAAGGTGTCCCTTCCTCAAATAAAAACATTGAAAGTTAAGATGCTATTATTCCGTGGACAACCAAAGCATGCTGGGCAGTAGCCTAGGCAGCACACACATCCAGGCACTGGGGTGCATGCACCTTCCCTGGCATCCAGCGTCCCTTGTCCTCAGGAACCATAGGCAGTGTGGGATCAGAAGGGTGCTCTTCCCTGCTGCTCCAGGAGCCGGCAGAGAGGCCTGCACCCCTGGGTACGCCTAAACACTGTCATGTAAGTTACTCTGCCTATGATGGGAACAGTGCCGCTCCCAGATGCGGCGTGCTTGGTCAATGTGCATCTTAAACATCTGCACACAGTGCCCTGTGGTTGAAAGCATAGTCTTGGGAGTCACCCAAGCTAGGGTTTGAATTACAGCTCTGTCACCTTTTAGCTGTGTGGCCTTGGGAAAGTCAATGAACTTCTCTAAGTCTCAATATATTCTTTTCTGAAATGAGGATAGCAGCACCTACCTCTTAGCATTGCTGTGATGATTGAATGAGCTACTGTGCTTAGCAGAGTGCTTAGTGTGGAGATTATCATCCCAATGAGTGCTCAGTATGTGACAGCAGTATTTTTATTGGAGAGGTCAGATAACATCTCTTCCAGGAAGTCTTCCCTGTTCTGTCAATGGGTTAAGAGCTTCTCCTCTGTGACTCACAGCATTCTGTGCTTCCCTCTATTATAGGCACCATCAAGGGGAACTGCAGTCTGTGTCTATTTATGAGCAACTGAGGACAGGGTCTGTATCTTATCTCGAGTCTCTAGTGCCTACAAGCCTGGCAAACAGTAGGTGGTAGGTTCATGACCTGAAAGACATCCTGCGAGGGAAATGAAGTCCACAAAAAATGGAATAAGGGACGTGGGGGTGGGGAGTAGGGAAAGGCAGGTCTGTGTTCAGTGGCTATGAAGGTAGCAGGGAAGGGAAGGAAAATGATAGGCAGAAGCTGTGTCTCCATCCCCCCATCTTTTTTCATACTAGCTGTTTGGGGCACCTGGAGGAAATAGGAGGCTTTGTGCAGTCACTGCCCATCTGCTAACAGCAGTTAGGGTGTTAGAGGCACCTTAGGCAGGTCACACCTCTCCCCACTTTAGGTTCCTTGACTGAATAGTGAGGAAAAGAACCAGTGTCTGC